ATACAATCAAAATTTAGTCACTAACATTTTTTAAAAATCTCATCGCCGTTCTAAAAATAAGAAGTTTAGAAGTTCTGATCAATTTAAAACCCGGAAAAATTAAGTGGATTCGCTTTCTTCAGCAACTGTTATTTTAATATTTGAAAAAAACTTTATGAGAAGCTGGCAATTGTTCCAAAAATTTTTGTGGCTCAATTTTTTTCTAGCGCAGATGAATTATTTGCGCGAACTATCTGGTGAATCGAGCTTCTAATTCAAAGCCTGAGAAAGATGCAAAAGTAACGGGACTTTCAATTTTGATCTGTTTTTATTTTACATGTTTTATCTATCAAGCAACCAATTTTTGAAGAAAACAAATCAATTAGTTCATAGTCAGTGTCCATTGGTAAAAAAACCGTCCCTTTATGAAATTCCATATACTTATTTTTCTGCAGGCTTCGTTGTTGTAATGATCAAACAATTCTTGAAAAGACAACATATTTTGTTAAGAATAGTCTGTGTTGATTTTGAAAAACTCATACGCGCTAGCATTTTGTTAACAAAACAATTGAAGACCCGCTCTGAGTTTGAATAGTTTTGAAAAAACAATATAGAGTTTTCAGTGGTAAGAAGGATTTGATTATTGTCGTTTATATTTTTGCTCAACTTTTTTGTTCCGAATTTCGATAAGATGGAGGTTCGATAAGATTGTTCCGACTTTCAAAATTATGGGGGTTTAAAGATTGCCATTTTAGCCAATTTTGGACAATTAACGCGCGATATATTTCGCGCTATTAACGCGTAAGCGGAGATTTAATCCGTCTTAGCAAAATTTCCAAATTGGTTGAAAGAAGCTTATTTACCATAATTAATTTGTTACAATGAGCGAAATTTCTTCTTTTGTAGTTAATATGGCGTGTGGGGGGACGATTTCACAAAAAAAAAATTCAAATTTTAGAGTTTTTTTTTCATTTCATTTTATTACAATTAATTTTTTTGTGTTACTACTGCTCCATGAACCTCAAAAGGCAGTCGGAACATTCAGGGATTCGCCCTGATACGAGCAGTTTTTTTTTCAGATTAAATTTTGGGATTCAGAATCCAATTGATTTTTTGGTTATTTTATCAATTTAACACTTAGGGTTTTGCTAGAGTTCTGCCTCAAAACTAAAAAGTTTTCTGATTTAAATTCTATATCTTTGATATCTTTGTTTTGATAGTCAGTTTAGTTTCAAATTGTCATAAAAATTATCTCTACATGATGCAAACATTTCTATTTTTTTTGTCTCGTATAGAATCAACTATATTTTTTATAACAAATCGAGATGTTTTCGACAAGAAGTTATTTTCACCAGACAGTTACTAATTTGATTCAATTGGACTGTTTAAAAAACTATATAACTTGCAAAACTTTGCAACAAAAAATAAATCTCATTCAATATTTTATTGAAAAGTGGGCTCTGATTTTGAAATTATTCCTTTAATCGGCATCATAAAACAGGGAAAATTGACAGGAGTAGTTCAAAAACAGAAAAAGGCAATAAAATCTAATGTAAATCATCATTAGCGTGGTTAGCTAGTTTTATGTTTTTGACAAGTTTATCTTCTCTTAATGTTTTATGAGATGGTAAATAAATCAGCTTGAAAGGGTACAATATTTCCCGAAATTGGAAATCATTAGCTTTGAAATTGAGGTTATCTGGGATAACAATCTTTAAACTACAAAAATAGCCAGTTATGTTTACTCTCATAGTAAAATCAAGTGACTATGTTGTACAAGGTTTGATGTGTCCAATGTATTGGAAAAATTTGTTCAAGGATAACATAAAAAGTGGTGAAAACTTGGATATTATCCCAACTATATTCCGTTCATATTTGCTTCTATTGAAGATTTGGTGTAAATTTTTACATTGAATCAAAAACTATTAGAGCAAAAAACTAAGTTAAACAAATAAAAAACTTTATATAAAAAAACTAAGTTAAATAAAAATACTAAGTTTAGATTTGTTTTGCTTGCTGTTGAATTTTGATTATTGTAATTTTTGTTTATTTTCATTTAATAGAACATTTTTTCCGAGCAATGTAGTACAAAGTCATAGTAGTTTACTCAAGGGCGGAGCCTTTCAAAGTATCGGAAGTAAATTTTGATTAAAAACAGATAAAAAACAAAAAAAAATAACGAATGCTTTTTTGTGAACATTTGGCCCAAACGTTTTGTCAAAACAAAAAAAATATGCCTTATCTAGCAGCGCTAGATTTTTCATAACCAAAAATAGCAAAAACTGATCACTGTCAAAATACATTTTTATTGTGAGCTTACGGCATTGATTTAATTTATCGTATAAAATTTTCGTCAAAAGTGCTAGTCAAAATCCAAGTTTGATTGATAAAAAAACTGCTCCGTTTGGTTTATGTTATCGTTCAAAATGGATAAAGGTTGAAACTTAATTAGCATGTTTCTCAAAATGGGCTGGATTTTACTCAAAAAAGTATTAAAAAGTTTCACTGTGACATTTAGCAGAAATATTATGAAGCAAATGATTTAGCAAAACTCCGGTGTCGAATATCATAAAACATGTTTATCGATTTTGCTAAAATTCAAAGACAAAATCATCCTCATTTTTTTTGTAAAGTCAACCCACTGCGCAATATGAACCAACTTTCATTTGTATTTTTCTCTAAATTTTCCAAATCAGCTTACAAGTGAATTACATCAAAATTTCAAACGGTTTAGTGTCCTTTGTAATTTTTATAACGAATATGCTGAAAAAAAAACGCTCTGAGCAATTATATCCCCTAAGTTTTTTCAAAAATCTGACAATTTGTTTGATTTGTTTTGAAGCTATTTGCTTAGATATGGGTTTTTGAAAAAAGTCTAACAATACGGTGTACTCAAGTTCTCGACAAAAAACAGAGGCTCGTGGTCGCGTATTTGAAACATTGATTAAATGGAAAATAAAACAGCAGTCAAATTTGTTCTCTGTTATTGGAATGAACCGCGGTTAAGGCAATTTTCCAGTCTTAATTACATCTTATACATGTAGTTTTTCCAGTTCTTGCTTATATTTTACCTAATTTTTTCAAAGGAAAAATATCAAACACTCTTCTAAAAATCTCAATAAGACCTTGTCTCTCAATGGTAAAAAATAGACTCAAAAAGCAATTCAATCCAAAAATAGAGAGAAAGTTATATAATTTTAAGAATATGACAATAGCAACTCCTGAAAAGTTTTATATTACCTTGAACCAGGGGCGGATTAAAGGGAGGGGGGAGGGTGGAGGTGGACGCTGTTTTGCATGGATTCGACAAACTCACCAACCAAAGAGTACCCCCTTTGGTACTATTATATGAAATACATCCGTTTTAGGCCAGAAAACCCCATAATTTTTCTTAGGCACTTTTCGACCTTTTTCTCAAAAATTTGCGGCGCAAAATTTTTGGTCAAAAATAGGGTCTTTGTAGTGACAGTGCTCGAAAAATCGATTGGTCGACCTAAAAAAATGGTCGACAAAATGTTTGAAAAACCGCCCCTTCGAGAAAATCCTGGATCGGCCCCTGCCTTGAGCTAACCTTAAAACATAAGAACCTGGAATTCAACTCTACAAAAAATACACTGGTTGTTTATGTTTTGATGGATTAGGTTTAAATATTTTTGAATGTGTATCCGAAAAAAAAATCCGAAATCACAATTATCGGTTTTAATAAAACGAGCAAAAATTCAAGCTTTTTCTAAAAAAAGCCCTCGAATTCTCACGATTTATTTCAAACAAAAACAAAACTAACTGAAAAATTCCACTCTCGACTATTGTTTTATGATTTCACATGAGCTGAAGTTTTTATGTTTAAAGCTGAACAAATAGGTTCATACGTGCTTTGCGACGCGGGATCTAAGAGTTAGAAACGATTATTGAGAGGGACACAAAAGCTTGGTATTCAGATAGCATCATCATGGTTATGGTTTGATTCAAGTATTTAAACTTCTTTTAGCACCGACCAATTATTGTGGCAGAACAAACAAATTGAACAGAAAAGATTATCAGAAAAAAACCAGTTAATAACATTTTTTAAACAAATTGGCCACTAAATTTCAATTAACGCTTCTCAGCTTAATTTACGGCCCGATTAACTTTGAGTCCCACTAAATTTCCATTAATTTTTTTGCATCTCGTCATTTTTTTTTCCAAAAATTAGATATAATAATTGGCTCTTATCATAGATAAGGAGAAAAAATGAGCTTCTCTCCGAAGTCAGTACACTGTGGTGATTTCGATATTTACTTTTGAAAAAATATAATGACTAAAAAAATTATTCTTCCCAAGTTCTCAACAAAAAATAGAGGTCAGTGATCGGGTTTTTGAAACAGTTGTTTATCTAAAGAAAAAAAAACAAATGATGAAGTGAAATATTGAAACAATCGATCAAATTGAATTCGATTGAGACTGAAAAATTCTGTTTTTTAGCTTAACTAAGATTTTTATAGTGTCTTTTTTTTTCAATTTTTGCTTCTTTACGGAATTGGGAGCAATTGATGCTGGTAGTTAAGAAATACCTGCCCCCTCTTTGCTCGATTTTTGAGATTTGTTAGAGAAAAAACTAATAAAACTTACTCTACTACATTTTCGGGAAAAAAAAACTTGTCTCTCAATGGTTCAAAGGATGATTCAAAAAGCAAATTAACCCAAAAATGAAGAAACGAAAAGAGTGATTTGAAAAAAGTGTCAAAAAGTTCCCGAAAATAACTATTACTCTAAGCTAACCTTGATATAAAAAGAGCCTGAAAATAAACCCTACAAATCTTTTACAGTGTCCATTTCCGTTTTTTTAATGAAAAGTTTGAAGATTTTGTGACGTGCGTGTCCAGAAAAAATTTGAAGCAAAAATTATCGTCTTTATTTCAAGTCGTTACACTGCCCCAGAAAACCAAAAAAAAACTATTTTTTTTCTGTTCATTTATAAATAAATTTTTTTGCGAACTAAAACTGAAAAAAAAATACATCTAGAAACTTCCTCAAACAATCACCTTGGAGTCCAGGGTTCCTTTATGAGACGAAAAGAGGGTCAAATTTGTAGTTGAAGATGAAGATTAGAGGTCATCAGGTCCAGCCTTCTCCAGAAAAGCAGTCCATTGCGTCATCAGTATCCCGAGTCACCATCATTCTCAGCTCCCCCAACACATTTCCACATCTTTTGTAGCAGCTGCAGACACTTACACATTCACCACACTTACTGCCACACCTCCGTCTAAAGAAGCAAAAATTTGCTATAAACTTTTAAAAAATATATAGTTCGACAAAAATTGGTTGTTGCACAAGTAAATTAGATTATTCAGCCTGCGTTTATCATTGCAAGAAATAATTTATCTCAAAATGAAAAACATTACGAGGCCAAACTGTGCACTGGATAGGCGCAAAATTTTTATGTCTGTATATTACTGAATTCCATAGATAAACCTTTAAACAGGTTCCAAAATGTACGTAGACTCCACATACAAAATTTCCGTGGATTTCGCTTACAAATATCTGTAACGTAAATTTTGTCGGCACCATTGTTGTATCGCGGATTCCGCAAAAAGTGAATATAGTTTGTTGTTCTGGATACCGAAACTTTCAGTGGATTCCACAAAATGTAAGCGGAATCCGCAAATGTAAAGGGAATTCGCAAAAAATTGTAGCAGAATCCGCAAGTGTAAGCGGAATCTGCAAGCTATATACATATATGTAAACGGAATCCGCAAATAAACAGCGAATTCCACTTAAAATTTGCGGATTCCGATTACAACTGCGAAATCCACAACCGCTCAGTTCAACTAAACCAATGTCTTATTGTGTCCACAAACTGTTGTCCACAAACTTTTCTGGATTCCGTATACACGGTTGCGAATTCCACAATTTCAAAACAGCATAGAAAACCAAAGAAAAGTAGCAAAGTTGCGGATTCCGCGTCAATTCTGATTTTGCCTTGTTACGGAATCCACTTACAATGCACAGAAGGCACAGTTTGGTTTCGTAATGAAGTTTCTTGATCTCATATTTTAAGGTGTTTTTCGAAATAAGCTGAAATTTGCAGAAAAAAACTGTATCATAATCACTTTTTGATGCTTATCAATGCCAATTTTGAATCAAAATTTGAAATTTGTCTAAGAATTTTCAGAGAAATCTTGCAAGAAAATGCATACTTTGGAATAATTTTTGCGAGATTTGAATTCTCCTAAAAACAGCAGAAAAAATTATATAAAATAAAGTTACATCAAATCTTATTTTGTTCCATGAAAAAATCTGGCCAAAAATGTAGCACAAAATGTTCCGACCACAACGGTTGAATAAAAAAATTCAAAAATTTGATTAAAAATAGTAAAAACAGATTTCGGATAATTCTTTCTGGAAATTTCAAAAATTGTTTGCTAAAATTTCTGATAATCTGCTCGGTAAAAAGTGATTGATTCAGGGCGGAAAATGATAATTTTAGAAGTAATAATGATTCAATCAAGGTACGACTCGCAACTTGAGAAAAATTTGAGAAAAATTGGCTGAGTTCCTAATCAAGACAGATTGAGACTTTGATATGATACCACATTTGACGAGCTTTTGTGAAGTTTTCAAATTTAAGCCTAAAAGCTCTAAAAAATTCCGCTCAGTTTCAGTGAAAGAGTTAGAAAGTTAAGCTGAATCTTTCAAGGAAAACTTTACGCTTGTTATTGGAAAGTCGAATGTAATTTTTTGTCATTTCTGCAAAGCCACAGTGCTCATTTTTGAAAATTGTCGCCCTTGGTTTTTATTTTTTAGTTTTTATCACCCTGTGTGATTATAACATATTAAGAATCAACGAAAATTAAAATCTATTAAACAAATAGATTCGGAAAAAGTTTTTGATGATATCTGTATATGTCGTACGTGTTCGTAGGACTTCTTCTAAGTTTTGTGAAAAGTATTTTTCTTTTCGGAATTGAAACTGGAGGTTACCGTGAGAGACTGGATATCAATGAACAAAAGACAAGTGGCAATGTAGAGTATGGTTGTTACGTAAATATCTTTTTGCGACAGCCAAATCCATACAACTTTTTTATACACTATTATTACGAAAAAAAAACACTTGCTGAAAACTTTTTTTTGGTCGACCCCAAGGTTAAGCCTAGTAAAATTGCGAAATTAGTTTTGATTTAGTAAAAACTTAATGTATGTAGATCTTTATTTTTCTTGAAAATGGCCACATTTTAGCGTTTGCGTATTTTTTTCCTCATCCAATGATCAATACTTTCTAACTATGTCACAATGTCATTTTGTGGTTTTTTCAGCTGCTTCCCAGCATATTTACCCGTTAGGGAAACTAATTTCCAAAATATTTTTTTTTCTGATTTTTGACAAGCCAAAAATGACTCTATGTATAAATGGGAAGCCTTGAACTTCTAACTACCTTCTAAAACGCCTGAAAAAAAAACCTTGATTCTAAGTTTTTGAACCAAAAAAAAATTTTTAAAAAAGATTTCTAGAGTAAAGCAGTGTTGCGAGTCCATATGACCCAAAATGAATAGCATGACACAAGGAAGCAAATAGAAAGTGAACACCTACAGAACTTTTCTGTCATTTAACCTATCTCAGTTTTTTTCAATTTGCATCAAAGTTTGAAAATTTGAATGATTCGGTCAATTTTTTTTTTTCAAATTTCGTATCGTACTTTCGAATTATAAAACTGATAAAAATTTTTTCTTTACAAAATTAACAGTTTTTTTTCTGGAAAAAACAAGGGTAACACATAGTTTAATCAGATGACCATGCTCAATACTAAATTCATGTCTAGATTTGTTTGACCCGAGGAGAAGAAACCACCTTTCTATTTCATAGAAGGCCGCCAATATTACCAATCACGAAGGCCATTCATCTCATCAATTTTTACAGATGATAACTAGCTCTGCAATTTAACAGAAAAAAGAATAACTCAATTACCTGGATTGTCAAAATATACTTTTGAACAAATCAATTTGGAGTTTTTCAACCATCAAAAAAAACTGTTTTCAGATCGTATTCACTGCTGCGAGACATTGACTGCTGTTGAAGTGAACTTTTGCTATTCAGGTTTTCTAATAAAACTACTGAGACTGATAAGCAATTGTAGAGAGAAAATTTTATATTGGAACTACAAAACCCGCGTCAGTGCTAAGCCTTGATTGTTCCAACTGTTTTTAAGGTGACTGAATACTTGTTTTTCTAAAAAAAATTCACCCACATTCAAAGATGTAGTTTAAGAAATATATTTCGCGTCTCTTAGCTTGCAAAGCGGTCATTCCGGATTGACCAATTTGGTGGTTTTTAAATTTCATTAGTTTTGATCAAAACGCCAAAATCTATAAGAAGATTCAAAAAAACTCCATAAAAAATGCAAGCCAAAATGTCAAGAGCATTGGAATTACATGCTTTTTTCGAACGCAGGAAAAAAGCAGTCTTACTAGCTTTTATGTCTAAGTTTATAAAGCAAGACCACTCAAAGTCATGTGAAAACACAATGACGTTTTAAAATTTTGCACGTTTTATTCTTTGTTACTTTTTTTGTATTGGATCAGTAATCACAACTTAAGTGTTCGCCTACATTTTTCGTTGCATCTTGAAAACTTTTTTAAAATTTCTTCCGAGTTTTAGAATATAAATAAAAAAGCAAATGTAATTGGAGAAAGCTAAGGTATGAATTGAAACCAGTTTTGTGATCACGCTTTTCGGATAATTCTTTCTGGAAATTTCAAAAATTGTTTGCTAAAATTTCTGATAATCTGCTCGGTAAAAAGTGATTGATTCAGGGCGGAAAATGATAATTTTAGAAGTAATAATGATTCAATCAAGGTACGACTCGCAACTTGAGAAAAATTTGAGAAAAATTGGCTGAGTTCCTAATCAAGACAGATTGAGACTTTGATATGATACCACATTTGACGAGCTTTTGTGAAGTTTTCAAATTTAAGCCTAAAAGCTCTAAAAAATTCCGCTCAGTTTCAGTGAAAGAGTTAGAAAGTTAAGCTGAATCTTTCAAGGAAAACTTTACGCTTGTTATTGGAAAGTCGAATGTAATTTTTTGTCATTTCTGCAAAGCCACAGTGCTCATTTTTGAAAATTGTCGCCCTTGGTTTTTATTTTTTAGTTTTTATCACCCTGTGTGATTATAACATATTAAGAATCAACGAAAATTAAAATCTATTAAACAAATAGATTCGGAAAAAGTTTTTGATGATATCTGTATATGTCGTACGTGTTCGTAGGACTTCTTCTAAGTTTTGTGAAAAGTATTTTTCTTTTCGGAATTGAAACTGGAGGTTACCGTGAGAGACTGGATATCAATGAACAAAAAGACAAGTGGCAATGTAGAGTATGGTTGATACGTAAATATCTTTTTGCGACAGCCAAATCCATACAACTTTTTTATACACTATTATTACGAAAAAAAAACACTTGCTGAAAACTTTTTTTTGGTCGACCCCAAGGTTAAGCCTAGTAAAATTGCGAAATTAGTTTTGATTTAGTAAAAACTTAATGTATGTAGATCTTTATTTTTCTTGAAAATGGCCACATTTTAGCGTTTGCGTATTTTTTTCATCATCCAATGATCAATACTTTCTAACTATGTCACAATGTCATTTTGTGGTTTTTTCAGCTGCTTCCCAGCATATTTACCCGTTAGGGAAACTACTTTCCAAAATATTTTTTTTTCTGATTTTTGACAAGCCAAAAATGACTCTATGTATAAATGGGAAGCCTTGAACTTCCAACTACCTTCTAAAACGCCTGAAAAAAACCTTGATTCTAAGTTTTTGCACCAAAAAAAAAATTTTAAAAAGATTTCTAGAGTTAAAGCAGTGTTGCGAGTCCATATGACCCAAAATGAATAGCATGACACAAGGAAGCAAATAGAAAGTGAACACCTACAGAACTTTTCTCTCATTTAACCTATCTCAGTTTTTTTCAATTTGCATCAAAGTTTGAAAATTTGAATGATTCGGTCAATTTTTTTTTTCAAATTTCGTATCGTGGTTTCGAATTATAAAACTGATAAAAATTTTTTCTTTACAAAATTAACAGTTTTTTTTCTGGAAAAAACAAGGGTAACACATAGTTTAATCAGATGACCATGCTCAATACTAAATTCATGTCTAGATTTGTTTGACCCGAGGAGAAGAAACCACCTTTCTATTTCATAGAAGGCCGCCAATATTACCAATCACGAAGGCAAATCATCTCATCAATTTTTACAGATGATAACTA